CGAGGGGGGATGGGGCAAGGGTGAAGTGACCAAAGACAAAAAAGACAACAAAGAGGTTGGAATTCGGCGACGAGGGGGGATGGGGCAAGGGTGAAATGACCAAAGACAAAAAGGACAACAAAGAGGTTGGAATTCGGCGAGGAGGGGGGATGGGGCAAGGGTGAAGTGACAAGAGACAAAAAGGACAACAAAGAGGTTGAAATTCGGCGACCAGGGGGGATGGGGCAAGGGTGAAGTCACCAAAGACAAAAACAACAACAACGAGGTTGAAATTCGTCGACGAGGGTGGATAGGGTAAGGGTTGAGAACATGAAGAAGAAAAAGACATTCGGCGAAGCTTGATAACGAAGCATCAACAAATAAAAACTTAGTAGGCAAAGAGAAAAGAAATTGGGAAAGCTTTATGACCATTCAAGGACAATATTGGGATGTTTATTGCCACATAGAAAATAATTATTCTTCTTTGACGAAAATGTACCTTAAAAAAAAAATTCGCTAACGAAGAAGTTCAATTCTTTGATGAAAAATTGCAAGATTCTTTGCAAGCTTTAGTGGATCGTTCGCCGAAGTTTTTTGGGTCTGTTGACCACGAGTGTGGTAAGCTTAAGCGGATGTCCACAAAGTTTTTTTTCAGTTCCTCAAGATCCCATGGAATTCCCTGGAGGTTGGAGACCCCTTGCGGTGCCTCGACCTCCTCCATTCTCTGCTCCTGTGGTTCCGGGGCCTCCACTACCTCTACGAGTCGACGCGTTAGTAGTTGCCTGAGTCCTTTAAGTAATCTCGGGCTTGCTTGCAACATGGTTTGAAAGGATACGGATACCATGGTACCTACTAATTTGCTAAGGGTATCATCGATTTCTGGCATAGTGAGGATCATAATTTGGTATCTGAATTTCTTCTTTGCCGCCACCTCTTTGTCTATCGGTTTCTCTTCCCTTGCTTTTCCGTAGACTTTCTCCGACTCCCCTGTCTCGATTTCTTCTTGATTTGCGCTAGCCCCTACGACCTCTTCCATTACCGTATCTCGAATGAGTTTATTTTTCGCCCCTGCCCGGCGGGTGGTGATGTTCACCCTATCCTATCCATTACCCTCTAGGATGAAATTGACTTGTGGTCCGCATCCCCTCGGTTGGTCCCAAACAATGTCAGCTACCGGCTCGACTTCTACGGCGGCTATATCTAGGTTATTTGAGAAAAGGTTAACGACATGTTTTTTTTTCAGTGTGCCTAAAGTGGTAAATTCAGGATGCCTATAAAACTCTACAGTGGGAACTATACGGTGGGGAGGGATACTTTCAGGCCTTAAGGGCATTCACCCCTTCAGGATAATTCGGGATCCTCACGCTTAACAGTGGGACCTATAGGGTTGGGGGGGTTCTTTCAGTCCTTCATGGCATTCGCCCCTTCAGGATCGTTCAGGATCCTCAAGCTTAACAGTAGGAGTCATAGGGAGGGGAGGGGTTCTTTCAGGCCTTCAGGGCATTCACCCCATCAAGATGATTCATATTGTTCAGGATGCCAAAATGACACAACACTGGAAACCAGAAGGTGGGGACGGGCGCTCCTTTCAGACCTCCGAAGACATTCATTTTCGGGGCATTCACCTCTTCAGGATCGTTCAGGATTGTCAAGCTTGACAGTGGGAGCCATACGGTGGGGGGGGGGGGG